ACTGTATTTACCAACCAAAACCCTAAATTTGCAACGTTGCCGAAGTCCAGATAAAAAAAGAACTTTAACAAATAATATAATGATTTGATTCTTATCACCTACCTAGCTTGTTTTAAAAATAAAATCATTGTTTTCAAACACCTTTTTTAAAAAATAATATCCTAGTACGTATTGTCTTTATTTGCATGGAAATTAGTAGTGCAATGGCGATGTAGATAACACAGAGTTTACAAACAAAAATATTTAAACAATAGTAAACCTATAAGGCGTTTTTAAAGGTTCAAAGTGGAAAAAATTTAGGATAAAAACAAAACTGTAAAATGCATGTATATTGTAAATCTAATAAAATATATATTTTAATTTATAGACATTTTTAACTTATTGTATTTGTATATTCATAATAGTAAACCACAACAGTTCCAATATTAAAATAATAATAAAATCTCTAGACTATAACCTATAAAATAAAACTTTTACGAGATATATTTTATTTAAACAATTTTAGTCGTAGGTATGTAAATAAATTTAAAACAAGAAAAAGAAGTGATATCTTAAACAAAATTCGTGTTCGATCGTTGAAAGTTGAAATGGGCAAAGGGACAAGGCACATAAATCGATTTAAATGGCATTGCACCTTAATCAATTTATTGATAACGTAAACTGTGCGTCGCGCTGAATTCCTGATACACAGCAAATATTTTGCCTTTTCTATTGTATGGGTTTATGTTGTCCAGACTTATTCACTGTAATAATCGTTTGTGCCAGTCATAAGAATCTGATTGTATATCGATACATTCATAAACGTTTCTTACCGACTATGTTGGGTCGACAACACCATCAACTTACCAGCTAAACAATTTTACAATCGCAATTACTTAACTTTAACCCTCTATTATAGAAACTATTTTATTCCTTTTTAGTTAAAAGTTTTTACACAAACAACGAAACGAACAGAAGGTATGACAAACCTTTATTGATAATAAAACAATAAACGTCCAAAAATAGTAACAAATTAACAAATAGAATAAAAAACAGATTCCGATCTCTTTTACGTAATTAATTAATTAAATTTTAATGAGAAAACATTATTTTCTAGAAAATAAATTATTATTGTTTTTTTTTTCATTTATGGATGATTCTACAAAAGTTGGACAACTTGATGTCATCAGTCAATAGAGTAGGTATTTTAATATTTTTTGTAAATATTTTAGTATATTACAAAAGACTTAGGTTTTTTTAAACTTGTCCACCCAATTTTAATGTATATTTTCAAAAGCACGTTTGTAGAAAAATATAATAAATATTCAAAACATCATTACCTTGGCGTGTCACAACTCCTGAATCAAATATTTGAGTGATTTTATTTAAAAAAATATTCGATTTATCTTAAATTTTTCAATTTCACTACAAACTATAAAACATTAAATAATGTATTTTTCATATTTTATCATAGATTCGAATAATAGCAATTTTTAAAAAATTAATAATCTTTGTACCCGTCAGTTCTATGTGAACTCAATGTTAAAATTCAAAATTCCTGCGAAATATTGAAGTTTAAACTTCAATTCCCCGTTTTAACTCAAGTGTTGGTAAAAAATTACCTACAGAGCCCGCCCTTTGCACGACAGTCATCTTGAAAACAATGCAAGCGGTGAAGTTGTTGTGAATGCACGTATAGTTCCAGTCAAAATTTTAGTACTGTGGTGAGTAGTTATTTTCTTACGTGTAATTTATATAAGGTTATATGTGATTTGTTGATAAGTAGCATCCACTAATAAAAATATCAGTAAAATACTTAATTCCGAATTATAATCTCAAATTTGTATCCCATTCATCAGTACCGTGCCGTCAGTTCCATGTCCGATGTTTCGCAAACTTCAATTTAAATTCTGCTTGCGCAGAACTTATTTATTTAATGTCATTATAAACTCATATAAATTTGGTCCACCAGCCGCCACTGATGTGTGTATATTTTCCAATAAATTATGTATTTAATTAGTACCTACCCTGGTATACTCGTCACTTTCCTTGCATTCAAATTTAGAAAACACAGATATTTCAGAAACTGTTTGAAAAAGTGACTGGCCCGGTCTGGAACAGTATATTTATTATATTATCTATGTTCTCATAACAAAATACTGTATAATTTTGTCCGAAAACTATATAAACCAAATAAGGTTGCTCAACTTTTGTAGAATCACCCTTATAATACAATAAATGTTAAAAAAATTAGGTAACATTTTAATAACTAAATTAACTGAAAAAAAAATAAATTATTAACATTCGATAGATAACAATAAAATTAAATTTATAATAATTAAGAAAAATCATACAGAATAAAAAAAATTACAATCAGATATATGTCTAGTCTAGGCTAGACATATTAAAAATGGCAATTTTAGATAATAACAGCTGGTGCCTCACGCTCAGTCGATTTCTAAAGCTTTTATTTTTTTTATCGATTTTTTGTAAATAAATTTTAAACAATTGTTTTTGCTGTAATAAAAACTAATAATAATAAAACTAATAAATAATAAAATAATAATAAATGGAAACTACAAACTCTGTCCCAACTTAAAATCTCTGGAACGGTTGAATTATTGTTTGTTATTTTGATGTGAGCAATGCTTCAGGAGCATAGCCTATTATAAAATTTACGCATACGCAAGATAACTAAAAATACCTACTTATTGTAGGTAGGTACCTACTATGTAATTTATAATTATTATTTTTATTTATTTTTTTAATTGAATTTAAAATAAAAAATAAGGCTTCTCCGAGATGTTATTGACATAATAGTATATTATGTATCAAGTTTGATAAACGCCATTTTATACACGAATTTAATTTAGGCACGAGCGAGTGCTTAAATTAATGAGTGTATAGAAAAGTTTATAAACGAGGTGCATACTATACTTTTTCTTCGACAAATACTTATTATTATCTTAAAAGATTTAAATCAAAAATTTGTACAGAGCGCCATCTATGAAACAATAGGGGAATCTGTGTATCACCGTCAAATGTCAAATTTTTATATTTTATAAACACAATTATAAAGGTTATAAATCGAAATGTATTTTTTGAAAATTGACAGTTTTTCACAGTGACAGTAAAGAAACTGTTTTATGAGCACTTTACAGTATTTAGTTTACTGCCGGCGAAATTAAAAGGTCAGTACAATGTTCATATAAACTTTTCAAATATTGGCGTTGAGAAACTAACTAAACTTTTGTATTTTTGTATTGAGATAATAAAATAATTTTCACATTTAGTAATATTTCACAAGAAAGGCAATTTATTTTAACGATTGTATGACATTTGACAACTGTTAGCCCGTGACTAAAGCGCCATAAAGCCACAACTTGTCAATGTTTATTTAAAAGGTCACTTAGTGTCATGGAAACATGTACGATAAAGGGCGTTTTAAAGGTGGGAGTAGAAAAAATCAATTTTACATGATAATTAGGTTTTCTTACTAAAAACGGCGGATTACTAGACGTCTCGGATTATCGAAAAGAGGTGAATCTGTACTGTAATATAAAGTTATATTTGTGATTTTTTTTAAATCTGGTTGTTAAAACTTTTGAATGGTATCTAATAAGTTAAAATTGAACTTCGTACACCGCAACGATTAACAGGAACTTCTTAAAAAATTAAATGTTTGCCATCGTTTTTTAATGTAAATACAACTATTTAACGTATAGAGTTTATTTATAGTATTCAAACACTTAACAAATCAATTGTAATGGAGCGTACAACTAATGCATATTTATGATTTTAAAAAATCAATAAAATTGTTGGAAAAGTGTGAACTTTTGTACCCGCCAATTGAGTAATAATATTTAATTATTATAAACTCTCTGACAAATTATAACCAAGATAAAATTATTTAAAACCACATTAAAAACCAAACAAAATAAAAATAGCTATATTGTATTGTGTACAATATTTTTAATTAAAACATGGTTTTAAAAATAATCAAATATGTACTATAAAGCAAAACAAATTAAGAGACATTAACTTTTATTATTTTATGGCAATTATTTCCCCACAAATCGCAGCAAGCTGTTTGACGGTTGATATGAAGTGTTATAAAATTCATTTATTTAGGTTAACACAATAGATTTGAAGATTACATATATTGTTGTTTATATCACGTTGAGAAACTACATATATCATAAATGATAACACTATTACAAATATATTTAAGAAATATTTGGGTAATTTAGAGTCTTAAATACCCTACTTCCTAAAACTTACACATCCCATTTAAATAACTTAACTAAGGTACATACATACATATAGATATTTAAATAAGATTAGAAATTATTCCATACACTAATAAAGTTATCCGTCAAAATTTATAAGAATTTTCAGAACATTCTAAATGAAGATATAAACATAAATAACTTTAAAGAAAACAGATAATTGTTAAATTGGACTAATAACAGTCCCCTTAAAAGCTTAAAATTAAGAGTTTGCCAATTATTAGTAATAAAAACATAAATGGCCCACACAACTTTTTTGTGAAATTATTAAACAATTATAAAATAAAACTAATAAAAGGTTTTCTATAATAGTCGGCAAAACCGTAAAATTAATACGTTAAACCCATCCATTATAAAAATAATTGGCATAATTATTTTAAAATTTATCTTAAACATTTTAATTTGCAATAAAATTGATTTATTGCCTTCATTTTCAGTTTACAAGAAAAAAGAAAAATAAAATCTGACCGATATACTTTGTTGGTAATATTAATTCTATGCAAAAGAGAATTTATATTTATTTGTCTTTATCGTTTTTAAATAGTGCAAAAAAATGTTTTGTTTGTTTATAAATATTAAATCGCATTAATGGAAATATTTAATTGTTTTGATTTAATAATTAAATGATAACACAGTTTTGTTATTTATTTACATTTTAAATAAAATGCGGTGGAAGACAGAAAAAAATCATGGTGAGATAAATAAAATTAGGGTAATAAATAATGGACTTACGCATAAGGGTGCATCCAGTAGGTCAAAGGCGAGTAATGCCGCGTTGAGCATCACCCAAAAAAAACATATTAGGTATATTTTGATAATTATCGGCACTTGCTGCTAATTGCACTCAACATTCGTTAATTATGTTGATAGAGATTGTCACTCGTTTTTGCGAATAAATTTACCGATGAACATCAGTAACGAACCACACAGAACAGATAAATCCAATTTTGTAAGCGAGGAGCAGCGACTTTCGAAACAAATCGTAGAAGCACATTGAGACGACAAAATTTCGAAAATTTTCTATCGGACCGCCGACGTGCACCGCAACAACGCTGATACTACAATGGTAGGCAGAGAGCGGTCCCCACTCGTTACCTACCCCATTATACAGGTGTGCGGTTGCGCAAATTCGCTTCGAAAAAATACTACTACTTTGCATATAAAAACTAATTATCTCCGAAATCAGAACCAAGGGTTGCTTGCACTCTTTTAACATCTATCTTCCTAATTCCAATCGCCCCATCATGATGCATCAACCCGCTTTCGATCAAATTCTCTTGCTTCTCATCCAGTGTACATCTACTTAAGTACGTTAAGTAAATTCCGTTCCATTAGTTTTTTACTATTGTTTTTTTAGAAAAAACAGTTTACAAATACATTGCATGTGGTAATAAATGTTTATAAACAAAGAAAAAGGACTTTTAAACAGAAAGTAAATGTAAGAAACTTTTTTTTAATTGAATGGATTTTTTCTACTCCCACCTTTAAAACAACCTTTATCGTACATGTTCCCATGACACTAAGTGACCTTTTAAATACACATTGACAAGTTGTGGCTTTATGGCGCTTTAGTCACGGGCTGAAGTTAGCAACAGGTTTTTACTCACGGACTGAAGCTTTAAGTTAGTTGACAGTTCTCAAATGTCATACAATCGTTCAAATAAATTGCCTTTCTTGTAAAATAATACTAAATGTGAAAATTATTTTATTATCTCAATACAAAAATACAAAAGTATTAAATAGTTTCTCAACGCCAATGTTTGAAAAGTTTATTTGAACATTGTACTGACCTTTTAATTTCGCCGGCAGTAAACTATAACTTAAATTCGGGCACGGACTCCACTGTAAAGTCCTCATAAAACATTTCCTTTACTTTCACTGTTAAAAACTGTCAATTTTCAATATACATTTCGATTTATAACCTTTATAATTGTGTTTATAAAATGTAAAAATGTGAATCTGAATGTGACATTTGACAGTTTCCCCTGTTGTTTCACAGATGGCGCTCTATACAAATTTTTGATTTAAATCATTTTAAGATAATAATAAGTATTTGTCGTAGAAAAAGTACAGTATGAACCTCGTTTATAAACTTTTCTATACACTCATTAATTGAAGCACTCGCTCGTGCCTAAATTGAATTCGTTTATAAAATGGCGTTTATCAAACTTGATACATAATATACTAATAAAATTTTGAATTTGTATTGCAAAAATGAAGGGCTTTTAAGCATTAAGGCTATATATATATTTATTAATTTTTAACTCAACCTATTATTTTTTGCTGTGACTTTTAGTCACGGGCTAAAGTAGATTTCAGTTGCCATTTTTTATACAATCGTCTGACAAAATATCAGATTTTATTTATTTATTTTTGAATACTCGCTCGCAAGCTTCGTCGTGCCTACTTAAAACAGGTGACTAAAATGACGTTTATAAAACGTATTACATAATATACTATAAGACTATGTTCAATAATATTTTTGAATATATCACTTATTGTGATTTTTTTATTGTTTTCTGTAATAATCCAGTTTTCGTCCAAATAAATTAAATACAATAAATGATAAGTAAACTTACGACCGCTATGTAAAAGTCACATTTCGTATGACATCGTTGCTAAGAAAATCATTTCTTTTGCAACCTTGCCTTGGCAAAATTAAAGTTTCTGTATGAAAAGTGACAGGTCTGTGTGAAAACATTGAAAAGTGGGGTTAAAACCGCTTGACAGTTTCATATATCAGGTAAATTGTCAAATGAGAGTTTTAAATTCTGAAAAAACATGACTTTGTTTTTTAAATAATACACACTCAGCCTGAAGGCCAGCCTCATGCGCAACTTAAACTCTGGCATGCTTTTCAACTCTTTAACAAATATCCATAAAAAACCTTGGGATTTAAATAGGAAATTAATTAATTAGTATTAAATAATATTTTCTTACTACCTCGACTGAAAATACGTCCCCGATTTCACGGCAGAAAGTTTACGTTTCTTGCATTGGTCAAGCTATACGCGCACACTCTATAATAGCGGGAGTAAAAATTTTTTAGTCGTGTGCTCAACATATGCAACTCTGATTACGACACTAATATAACCTCAAAATTTGGGCAGGCATCAATATGTTTCGATATACACATTTAATTTTTTCCCGTATTTTCGGCCGGGTTATATTTTCGGCCGAGGTAGTAAGAAAAATAGTATACACTACCCGGGCAGAAAGTGTGAGAGCCCTGAACTGCGCGCCATGATGCCCTCGGCTTCGCCTCGGGCATCATGGCGCGCAGTGCAGGAATCTCACACTTTCTGCCCTTGTAGTGTAATATACTATTAAGAGTAATAATACAGGGTGTCCCAGAACTCGCGCCACAGAGAAAAAGGGGCCGTGCAATGGAGATGATTAAAAATATTTTTGTAGGTAATAGTGTAATCAAATCAAAGCAAAAAAGCGGCAGCCAATACCGAGAGCTCTCGCCTGGGTTAATCGTAGGAACTTTAAAAATTGCTAGGCAACGATAGAACATTGTTGTCTTAAAACTTTTAAAAATCTTTGTCCGACTGTGTTTACCAACCTTTCAAAAAGGAATTTCATAATTCAGGACGCCAATGTTTTAAATTAAAAACTAAACAACTAGTTCCGTACCCCAGAGCCAAAATCTCCAGCAACCACTACAGAATTCAACTCTACTTTATAACCCTTTGAACTGTAAACGGGTAATTCGCGTGCCACTTCCCTTATGCTTTTCCTACTATTTGCATCAAAGGAATTGAAAATAGCTTTTTTATTTTCCGCTGTTTTAGTACGTTAAGGAGCACTTTTAATTTCGTTACAACGCAAAACAACTTTACAGTCCAGGGGACGATCGGGAAAGGGCTGGGAAAAAACTCGTTCTGCCCATTCTCCTAATAAATAATCATCATCTCGGCATAATCAAAGGAAGAAAACATAACCTAAAATGATAAATAATAACAGGAACAAAAATTGACAGCAGTGTCACAATGAATTGGATTCCAGTCGACCAAATATTTTATAAGCATCCTAGCAATTTAAAGAATTTCCTATATCTATGTATTGGAATTGGCTATCATTTTTTATTCTTATCTCGCTTATCCTTTGAGTTATATAATTTTATTTTTCAAGTATGTGTTTCGCAGGACACCCTGTATAATATAACACAATAAAAGATTAATACAGTAAGGGTCGGTTTATCAATGTCCAGTAAAATTGCAGTTAGTTATCTGTCAGATAATTGCCGTGGATACCATTATTCTCAAAACGATCGATATGGAACTGTCAGATAGACTAACTGGAACTTAACCATAGATTGATAAACCGACCCTAAAAAAAGTAAAAAGATAATGATAAATGTTTAAATTGACATAATTTGATTTTATTATTGTTAATTTTAATGCTACCCAAGCAGCAAAGAATTACACATTTTGGGCAATGTGTCGACACGGCGTCGAAACATGATTTTGGACACGACACATTTTAAAGACACAAAGTCCACTTTAAGACCACTAAGTGTGGAAAATGAGGCCAAAGTGGTGATGAAAGTTGTACCAAAAAGTGTCCATAGTTTGCCCACAAAATGTGCCCGTTTTTTTCTTAAAATTTGCCCACAATGTGCCCGGTAGTGTGACCGATTTATGCCCAAAGAGTTTCTAATTTGTATGTTACCAAATGGTCACCATTTGTTCCGAATTGTTGCCAAAGTACTGTATTGTATCCTAAAATAAACCCAAATGGACACTAACTATTTTTAATTGGATACGAATTGGAAACAAAATAGATACAAAGAGGTAAAGTAAGGCGTGATGTCTTATTAATAATTATGTATATAATATAATATTATGAAATACATTATAACTTAAATCTAACATTTTTGGTATATGTTACCTTCATTTTTATTGCGAACAAAATTTATTGGTGGTTATAAGCAAAATACTTTTAAAAATTGATAGGGCCTCACAAATAATAAGTATTTATAATTTTTTTTTGATTAAAAATATTTTTTTTTCTATATTTTTCTCAAAACTAGACGTATGTGCCTTCTATGTAACTTAAAACATTGCATTTTTTAAATTTTAAGTTTAAATTTCACCAGAAAGTTAAATTATGTAAAAAAAATTCACATTTGCCATTTTTTTTTAAAGCGTCAAATCTGTTTCAACAAAAAATATGGCGAATGTGTCCCTTTGGAACCTAATGCGCCCGCCACACACATTTTTTAAATATTTTTTAAACATTTTTTAAACACTTGACTCAATTTGGTAATAAAATGGAAACATATTGATAAGGTACAATATGGAAACATTGAGTCGACTAAGTGTCGACCCTAATGAGTCCAAATTGTGTTACTGTTTCCAAGAGGGCACAAAAGCGACTCAACTTGGGCACATATTTCTGAAATAATGCTACTTAGACCCATACTTTTTTTGGACACAATTGGTTTAAAAGGTGTCGACCCAAAGCAACCACAAATTTGAAGAATGGACACAGTTTCCATTTAGACATAAGTTTTCCGATTTGTGTCGAAACAATTTGGAAACAAAAAGTGTCGTGCCCAAGTTCGGGCACAAATTGCTGCTTGGGTATCTATCCGGCAAATGTTTTACCTTGTGTCATCAATATAGAATAAAATAGAAAAGGATAGAATTGCTGAATGCCAGCGCAAATTAAAGTTAAACAAATTAAATTCACCACCTTAAATCATACATTCTTTAAAACTTAACACTGGTCAAGTGCCTTTTGCTTATTAATTCTTCTGTTTTTTCTCTTTTCTCATTTTTC